CATGGGAATTCACAGGGAACCCAAGTTCATCCTTCATCCCCTCAATTCCACAGAAATTCGGAGTGATCCCTCCAGGATATGGAACTCCCAAAGGAAGCGGAGTGATCCCTCCAGGATATGGAACTCCCAAAGGAAGCGGAGTGATCCCTCCAGGACATGGAATTTGCAAAGGAAGTGGAGCGATCCTCCTGGGCTATGGATGTGTCAGGAATTCCCAAAGGAAGCAGAGCAATCCCTCTAGGATATGGATGCAGCAGGAATTCCCCAAGGAGAAGCCAAGCCAGGAATGTGGAATGGAGCAGAATTTGGGAATCAGGGATGAGCCGTGCTGGTGGTGCCAGCTGGGAATGCAGGATGAATGGGAATTTGGGAATCAGGGATGAGCTCTGCCAGGAATGCAGGATTGTTTTTGCAGGAGTGTCAATACCCCGGGATCCATCCCACGGCATCTCTGCTTGCACAGCCCTGGCTCTGTTTGCTCCCGAGCCTTTGGGGTGGGAAATGTTTGGAAAAGCCACTCATCCCGGTTCCAGGTGTGGGAATCCCACTGGATCCACTCCTGCCGCGTTCCTGGAGGTTCCAGGGACCTCTCCCATCCCACTGATCCTGCTGAGCCTTCCCAGACTTGGTTCTTCCCAAGGTTTGGGGACAGAGGTGGAGCTGGAAAAGCTCCCAGTGGGATTCCCAGTTTGGGGATGTCCCAGCACTCCAAATTCCCAAGGAAAGAATCTCTGAATTCCCAAGGAAATTCCCCTTGATGAGCGATTTTCCAAGAAAAATGAATGCATTGTCCTGTTACCTATGGAAATATCTGGGATAAACCTGGGATGGGCTCCTGAAAGCTCCGGCACTGGAAACAAAGAGGACCCGAGAGGCCTCAGGAAGGGAAGGATTGGGGTGGACATCCAGAAAAAATCCTGGAAATCTCTGGAATGAGATGGCAGTGGGGCCAGGCTCGGGGACCTCGCATCATCTGCAGGGAAAAAATTCCATGAGAAACTGGGAAAAACAAGCAGCAGGAAGGAGGGACCTGTGCAAAGCCAGGAATGCTCCCAAAAAATGTCAGAAATATCTTAAAATTTCCTAAAATCCCAATTCTTTCGGGGAGCAGCCTCAGGCCCGTGTAGAACTGTTCCCACTTTTCTAAGGGGTTTTCCCTCTGTCCCCGTGTCCGTCGGGATGGGAAAGCATTCCATGGGTGAGATTTGGGGCTGGAAAATGCTCTGAGGGGTTTTTCCTGTTGGCTGGGGCTGCAGCCAGGTTTTTGTGGGATTTCCACTGGAAAATTCCCTGTTGGAAGTGGCTCTGAGCATGGAAAGAGGAGATTAAGGTTTTTGGTTTTTTTTTAAATTTGGGGAATTTTTGGGAATTTTTAGGGTCTGCCAAGTGCCAGCGCTGCAGAAGCAGGCTTAGGATCCCCCATGTTCCCCTCTATCCCAAAAATTCCACATGCTGGCACTGATTCTGTTTTATTCCCAAACCAGCACTTCTGGCCCTTCTTTCTGAAAAACCAGCCCCGTTCCCATCTGGCTTCTGGGGTCCCTCCAAGATAAATTCCAGTTATTCCTCTCTCCCCAAATCGTGAGATCAAACCCCAAATCTGGCTGAAATCCTAAATCCACTTCCCTTATCCAGGCAGGAATATTGTGGCTCAGCTCCAGCTCCTCACCCTTCACCAGGCCTTGTGTGGAATTGGGAATATTCCCCCTTTTTTTTCCCAGGCGTCTCCACTAGGGAACCAGATCAATCCCAAAAAATCCCATGGGAATTCACAGGGAACCCAAGTTCATCCTTCATCCCCTCAATTCCACAGAAATTCCAGTAAAAATTCCAAATTCTTTGAGAGCCTTGAGTTTTCCCTTCTTTCCCCTCCCTATTCCCCAGTCTTTTCCATCTTCTTGGATTTTTCCAGTGGTTGAGCTGGTGACCAGATATTCCCGGCCTTTCCTCGCTCCCACTCTTGGATTTTCCCGATGCCCTTTCCAGATTTTTTCACCAGGGAGTTTTTTATCCCAATCCTCCTGTTTTTTGTTTGCTCCTCCTCTCCAAACCCCATTCCAGGAGGGATTTCCTGCTCCAAAATTCCTGGAATTTTTCTGAGGTGATGTTCCATCAAAACTTCCTCCATGGGATTTGTTCCCCAGGATGATGCTCAGGAATAAATTCCTGGTTATTGCAAATTTGGGACTTTACCCCTGAATTTGGGACTTTGTCTTTCGATCTAGGACTTTTTCCTTAAATTTGGGACTTTCTTCCCAAAATTTGGGACTTTTTCCTTAAATTCTGGACTTTCTTCCCAAAATTTTCTCCCTAAATTTGGAGTTTTCTCTTCCAGTTTGGGACTTTCTCCCCAAAATTTGGGACTTTCTCCCCAAAAATGTGAGACATTCTCGCTAAATTTGGGATTTTCTTCTCTAATTTGGCATTTAGCCCCTGGATTTGTTCTGGGAAGGTCAGGGAAAAAACTGCAAAATTTTCCCCTGGTGAGATTTTTTTGGCCCAATTTCCCATTTCCGAGAGCCTCACCCGGAATGTGCTGCCCCAGATTCTGGCTGTTCCCAAGAGACACCTGGAATGAGGCTTGGGCCTGGTTTTCCTTGGGAATCTGGAAAGGACAGGAGGGCTCCAGCTCCATCTCTAAATAGGGACTGATTTTTTTTAGAGAGTGAAGGGATCCAGCTTTGGAAGACAACGCAGGAAAATCCGTATTTATGGAAAAAAACGGGAATAATAATTTGGATGAGGCAGGAGCAGCGTTCTCCACTCGTTCCCTCCCTTTCCAAGCTGGAAATTCCTCAGGGCATTCCAAGGGAGCTCTCACCAGCCGCTGGATTCACGGGGAATTAAAAGCCAGGAGAAATGGGAGTGATCCGGACACGGCGGGATTCGCATCCCGCGATTTCCAGGGTTCCCTGTCCGCTCCGATGTCCTGGGAGCCGCCTGATGGGCCGGGAGCTGCTCCTGGGAATTCCCTGTGGAATCTGGAGGCTGCCAAGGGAGCTTTGCCTCCAGAAAATGAATCCCGCTCCCAATATTCCAGGTTATTCCCCTTTATCCTCTCCCACCGGATCATGGGCTTGGCTCTGGGGTGAGGTTGTGCTGAAAGGGGCTGAAATTCCCATTGGGAAGCTGTGGAATTGTGAGAATTTTTTAAATCCTGGTTTATTTTTGTTTTCCAAGGAAGTATAGGAGCTGTTGAATCTTTGGGAAGCAATTCCCAGCTTCTGGAAAATCTCCACCTGCCTCATCCGGGAGTGGCTCCCATCCAAAGGAATGTTCCAGCCCCGGAAACAGCCCTGGCTGAGGAAAGCGGGAATGCTGGGAGAGCAGAATGGTGGGAATGTTGCCTTTTTCCATGGAAAAATGGACAGGAAAAGCCAGACTTTGGGCTCTGGAAGCTGAGGGAAAACGTCCTGGACTGGGGCATCCCGTGGTGATGGATTTTTGACTCCTGGTCGTTCCGTTTTTCATGGAAAGCTCCTCATGAGGGGGAAAATGAAGGATCTGAACTTGGGAATTTGGGATTGGATTTGATTTTATCCCAGATTTCCAGGCATTGAGGGATGGGTGACTCCAAAATTTTGTCCTGGTGTCTTTTCCCAAGCAGAGCCCCAAAAGTGGATCCTGGGAGAGAAAATTGAGAGATTTTCCAGGGAACTGGCTTTCAAGGGGATTGGAACAGCTGGAATTCCAGCCCAATCACTAACAACAGTATGATCCAAAATGCTGGGACTTGATTCCCAAAAAATCTCTCTGACAGGAACCACCAGGAGCCAAAAATGCCCAAATCCATCGCCATGGGATGGCCCAATCCAAGATTTTTTCCCTCAGTGTAACTGAGCCGGAATTCCAGCTGTTTCCCATCCCCACCCCAGGGAAAACTTTTGTCCCGGTGTTTTTTACCCAAATTTTAGTACCAAGAGAGGATTCTGAGCAGGTTTGGGGGGTTTTCCCATGGAATTGTCTTTGTCCAGCTGGAAATCAGGGAGCGTTCCCCTGGGATTTTGGGAATGGGTGAGGGTGGAAGGCTGGAAGGAAAGGATTTGGGAAGACAGGGAGAGCACTTGGAAGTGGGAATAAGGGATAAAAATGTGGATTTTTGTACAGAAAGAGTTGTGGATCTCCAGCTCTTCTGCCCTCAGGAAGCCCCAGGCATCCCAATCCCTCTCCCAAGGAATCCTGGCATCTTCCCGAAGTCTGAGAGTGAAGGGAAACCAGGAAAAGCTGTGGGGCAGGGCCTTGGAGGGGTTGGGGTCCCAGCCAGGATGGGATTTTGGGGAGCCTGGGATCATTCCAGGCTGGATCCGGGGGTTCAGGGAGACGGGAATTGCCAAAGGAAGAGGGGGCAGGGGGGAAGTGCTGCTCCCAGTGGATCCCTGTGGGTCCCTGTGGATCCCTGTGATCCCTGCTCCTGGATCCTGATCCCACATCCCTGCCTGCATCCTGCTCCTTATCCTGCATGCCAGCCCCTCCTGCATCCCAACCCCTCCTGCATCCCAGCCTATTGTGTATCCCACATCCCTGTCTGGATCCTGCTCCGTGTCCTGTATCCCACATCCCTGATCATATCCCAACCCTGCATCCCACATTCCTGCCTGCATCCCAATCTCATCCTGGACCCGCATCCCTGCCTGTATCCTGCTCCTTATTCTGCAGCCCACATCCCTGCTTGCATCCCAACCCTGAATCCCAGCCGTGCATCCCAACCCTGCATCCCAAATCTTTGCCTGCATCCCAACCCCACATCCCACCCCCATCCTTCATCCCACATCCCTGCCTGCATCCAACCCCTCCTGCATCCGTGTCACCCCCCCCACCTCCGTGTCCCCCCTCCTGTCACC